CTAGTGGCAAGAAGCTGCACTGCAATCCCAGAGGTGCATGGTTTGAATCCACCAGATGCTCTGCCGGGAAAGGAGGGACAATCTCCTCCTGTACAAGTCAGATCTGATTTGACGGTACACAAACACACAAAGTAATAATAAAATTTTTTTAAAAGGGAAAAAATTTAGATTTTTAATGAAAGTTTATAGAGAACATGGATTTCCAATCATTCATTGTTGCACATTTTCCTCTCTGCCCAATCCTTTCCCCAAAACAGCTTTTCTCTTTGAAAAAAAAAATCTTTCATTGATATACACTTCCCCCCTCCCCAGTCCAATTTACTATACAGCTCTTAATTCTTGATTGTTGTCTGCAAATAATACCTAATCATGTATTCCTTTTAAGCAGTTCTCTACCTCAACTGTTTCAATGTACATTATTTATCCCCTCTTAGTTTTCCCTAACCCCCGTGTCAGCCCTGTTTTATAACAGTGGCATTATGCAGTATTTGTCCTTTTGTGACTGAGATATTTCACTCAACACAATGTCCTCCAGGGTCACGCATGTTGTATAATATTTCATGAGTTCCTTGTTTTTCAATGCTGCATAGTATGCCATTGTGTGAATATACCATATGTTCTTTATCCATTTGTTTGTTGATGGGCACTTGGACTGTTTCCATCTCTTTGCTATTGTGAACAATGCAGAAATAAACATAGGAGTGCATAGCACAGGTTGTTCATCAGGCTTCCTCAAATCCTGATTCCACATTCCTCCTCATACAGCCCAGCTTCCCAGTTCATCTGTTCTGCATATAGATTGAAAAGGTATGGAGACAGAATACATCCCTGATGTACACCCTTCCCAATTTTGAACTCTGCAGGGTCTCCTTGCTCTGTTCTGACTACTGCCTTCTGGTCCAAGCATAGGTTTCACATAAGCACAATCAAATGTTCTGGGATTTCCACTCTTCTCAGAATCAGCCACAGCTTGTTGTGATCCACATAGTCAAATGCCTTTGCACAGTCAATGAAACACAGATAAACATTCCACTGGTACATAATTTTATATTTGCCTACGACTGTCCCATTGATATGTACACCTACTTGGAGTCCTCCCATCAAAGCCTCTACAAATTTGCTTTACCCTAAGTATAAAAACTAAATGATATATTCCTTCCTTCCATTATCATTAAAAAGATACTACTTCAAGATACATGAACACTTGTCTCTACTGTGATCTAAGGTCTTAATATAGCACATACAGTATAAAAGTATTCTTAGGCTTTACAGTGATGTCACCTAACAACAACAACATATATTGTTATGTTTTTTGTTTTAAGTTTGGATATCAATAGCTTATTACAAAAGAGAGACACAAAGATTATTTACATGATGGACGATTTCAGAACTTCAGTGGAATGGACAGCTTCACATGATGCCATTTCAATACAGATTTATTTCAGTGTACATACTTCCCAAGAAAGTCACCATCTCTAAGTAAGAAATAATCCTTATCATCTATCTATAACTACTTTGGTGACTCCATATTCTGGAAGAAGAACTTTGTCTCCAGCTTTCACACTGGTTGAATTTCTCCAACTTTTCCTTTAGATTTGGATACAACAGCTACTACTGTTGCTTGCAATATTTTCCCCTGAGATTTCTCTGGAAGCCTCCTTTGGTTACAGTTTCTGCTGCATTGCCTTCCATCAATACTTGGTCAAAGATGTGAAGAAACTTTCTAAAGGCCTGTACTGAATGACTCTCTCATTGTCACAGCTTGCACTCCACTCCTGCAAAACCATCCCAAAGACAGCTACAGTTTTTTGTTTTGTTTTGTTTTTTTAAATATTATTATTATTTTTTTGTGCATACCATCAAATCCGATCTGACTGGTACAGGAGGAGATTGCCCCTCCTTCTCCAGCAGAGCATCTGGTGGATTCAAACCGCGTACCTCTGGGATTACAGTGCAGCTTCTTGCCACTAGGCCACCAGAGCTTCCAAGACAGCTATTGTTTTATATATATTTATAACCTTGGTGATGTAAGCCTCCTGTAGCCACAGTGAGTTAAGTATTAGGCCATTTTCATGGTTTGAATCTGCTGAACCATTCACAGGAGAAAGATGAGGCAATATGCCTCTGTTAAGATTTATAGCCTCAAAACCTAGTATAGCGTGGTCAACAATCAGAATCAACTCAAAAGCAGTGGGTTTAGTTTTTTCACATCAAACTAATTTCTTAAAATAATATAATATGTTGTTGTTGGTGGTGTGTGCTGTCAAGTTGGAACCAACTCATACGTGACCCTCCAGCAGGTTTTCAGAGGCTATAAATTACACAGGAGGAGACTGTCCATCTTTCTTCTGCAACATTGCATGTCGTTGTTGTTCTGTGCTGAAAACTTGCCTGCAACTCATAGCAACCCTATGTACAACAGCCCTAAACCCTGCTCTATTCTGTACCAATCTCATTGTCTCTGACACACCCACCCACATTACCCCAGTCACTGAATCAATACATCTCATTGAGGGTCTTCCTCTCCTGCACTGTCCCTCCACCCTCCCAAGCATGATGCCCTTCTCCAAGGACTGGTCCCTCCTTGCAACGTGTCCAAAGTATGGCAGATGGAACTTCAGAATCCTTGTCTCCAAGGAGCAGCTTGGTTTCACTCTATCCAGGACAAACTTGTTCATTCTCTTAGCAGTCCATGATATAGTCAATACTCTTCTCCGACACCACAGCTCAATGGCATCAACTCTCCTTCTCTCATCCCTCATCATTATCCAGCTCTCTGATGCATAGCAAGTGATTGCAAAGACTATGGTCTGTATCAAATGCACCTTAGGCTCCAGACTGACATCATTGCTCTTCAGTACTTTGGAGACATTAAAAGAATCATTAAAAATACCACTTTTTACTTACTTGAATTTTCAGACCTTAGCATTTTAATTTCTTCTGTTTTCAACTTCAAAGTTTCTTTGAGGACTGTATTTTCACAGTTTAGTCTGGAAAAAAGTTCCTCTGAATAAGTAAAACAATAATACTTTGTACTTTTTATATCTAACAGTGACACTTTATATTCTTTTCTTTTTGCAGATTACTCTTTTTTTCATTCACATTGTATTTGTTATGAGCTTATATTCTCTTAAAGAATATTTTTATTCCATCATCAGAAAATAAACACAAATATAATTTTTCACATCTCAAAATCATGTGTAATTTACATGTTGCAGACATAAAACAGTTTTTTGACATATGATAAAATTAAATACACTTTTCCTTCTTTATATTTAGTTGAGAATCAAAGCCAGATATAGCACTTAGACATCATTTTGCATACTCATTCTCTTTACTAAGATTTATTTCAGTTTAACTATTTTAACATTTAACAGATATGACTTGGAGAGGGTGTAGCTGGAGTGCACTTTGGAGGGAAGAATGATGAGGCTTTGCCTCACATACTTTGGTCATGTTGCTAGAAGGAGCTATTCCTTGGAGAGGGACATGATATTGGGAAGAGTGGAGGGTCAGTGAAGGAGAGGAAGACCAGGTGAATTGATATAAGACTGCTGCAACAGGCTCTTGTGTGTCAGAAAGTGTGAGGCTGGCACAAGATAGAAGAGGGTTCAGATCTTTTGTTCACAGGGATGTTACATTCAGTTTGATGGCATCTAACAACAACATTTTAACATCAGTTATAGGCTCAGACTTTTAAAAACTTGTACAAAAAAAGGTGCATAGGGCCCAGGTTTAATTTTGCAGAAACAGAACAAATCAAAACTAAAAGTCTGATTAAATGCACTGAAAAGATAACACTGCTTCAGGAGATGCTCTTGTCAGAATTGCATATATGGAATTTATTCCAGAAACACCAGCTATACCCAGTTATGTTGCTGTTGTTGTTGAGTACCACTGAGTCAGGACCGACCCATAGTTGACCCTCCAGTAGGTTTCCAGAGCCAGTCAATCACATTCCTGTGGAGCAGTTGGCAGATTCAAACTGCAAGCCTTCAGGACTGCAACACAGATTCTAACCCCAAGACACTATAAATAATTGACCTATTGTTGTTGTGTGCCATCTAGTCGCCTGTGACTCATAACAACCCTATGTACAACAGCCCTAAACCCTGCCCTATCTTGTGCCAATCTCACTGTCTCCGACACTCCTACCCCAATTATCCATCACTGGATCAATCCACCTCATAGAGGGTCTTTCTCTCCTGCACTGTCCCTCCACCCTCCCAAACATGATGTCCTTCTCCAAGGACTGGTCCCTCCTTGCAACATGTTCAGAGTTTGTCAGATGAAGCTTCAGAATCCTTGCCTCCAAGGAGCAGCCTGGTTTAACCCTCTCCAGGATGAACTTTTAAAAAAATATCAAGGTCATTAAAAAGATCCAAATTTTCTTGCACATTGAAGGAAACTGAGGTTCAGATATAACCACCAAATGCAACATGAATCCTGACACAGTTGACTTATCCCCCCCTCCTTTTGCTATAGGACATTATTAGAAGAATTGGCCAAATTGTAATAAAATCTACAGACTAAATGATAAATGATACAACTTTTATCAGTGTTAGTATCTTAATTCTAATAAATAGATTATGGCTGTGAAAAACAATATCCTTTTTGGTTTTAATATTAATTTAGGGTAATAAAGTCTTATGAATGAAAGTTTAAAATGTTCAGAAAATATGAGTATACTTGGTTTTTTAAAAAATATGTATATACTTGTCTAGAGAGAGAGAAAATGAAAATAATGTGGCAACAGGTCAAAATAGGGGAAACTGGGTAAAGATACATAGACATATGTACTGTTCCACCAACTTTTCTTTAATGCTTCAATTATTTAAAACTAAAAAGTGAAAAATTGAGTAGTAAAGTCATATATAACTTTAAATATCAATTTATCAATGATTATAAATAGAATATAATTAAAAGTTATTAAACAAATTCATATTCATAGAATAGCTAAAAAATTTTGTTTAAAAAAATAGATAGGTCCAGTAGTAAAATAATAAGGATATGGTCCATACTGCATTAAAAAATATAGTTACTGATTACATGTGAAAAAAACCCAGCTAAATTAATTTGTGAAAATTAATATTAAAACATAGATAAACAATAAGAATTTTATAATATTTACAGTTAGCCCGAAGAAAATCTAATCTACTTTTATATTGCATACATTGTATCTACTCTTATACTGTATACATTGTAAAAATTTAAAACAGAAGTCTGGAACAATAATATACAAACCTGTCATATTTTTGGGTCCAAGATTCCTCTATATTTTTAAATCTATTCTGATCAAACTCTATCTCCCATTGTAAGGCATTTATTTCCTATAGAAAGAAAATACACTTTAAAGGAAAATTACTGTTAATAAATCACTTCAGGACATAGTGAATTGCTAAAATAAATCACTGAGTCATTTCATAGAGATAACTTTAGAACAATACACTTAATTTTTGCTTAATACATATATTACATTTGTAAGCTCAATATAAAATATAATAACAACTCTTTATCACTCAAATATGCTTTGGTGGAAAAAAAATACCACACACACACACACACACACAAATAACCACCCAAAAGTGCTTTGGGAAAGCTTACTTGATATAGAACAAACTTTATATTTTTTAGCATCAAAATAATGCTGAACAGAACTGAACATTTCTCAGCACCATGACCACCGCCAGCTCCCAACTACCACCACCACCAGCCCAGGGTCCTGCCATCGAGAGGAAGCACATCCCGCCCAACAATGTGATCAGGATGTTTCCTAACTGCCACTTTAGTGATAACGGATGGTAAAAGAAGTAAAGCAGACTCTGCCAGGCAGGCAGAGGCATGAACACCCCCACACACCCACACCCCCACTCACCCCCACATACCTCACAGAAAAAAGAAAAAGAAGGAGCCATTAATATAGCAGGCCTCCTATTACCTTAATTAGGAAAATAAATGCTATCTTCATTTTCTTTGACAACATGATCATTTGTTTTGGATTTCAAGCACTAATAGGAAACTAACCCAGCAAAGGGTAGCTACTACTCTACTGCATATCCATTAGAATGGTGATTGGAAGGAAATTCTATTTAAAGTTTCTTGAATTGAATAAATCCTCTAGAAGAGGCAAATACCTTCTCTAAGGATCTCTTCTGTTCCACGGTTTTTTGAAACACTGCCTGGGTATGACTTGTGGCTTTACCAAATATTGCCTAAGAAAAACAAAATATGATTAGTATAGACTGAATTTTTAATCACTGCTGTCAGCAGAGTGGAAAAAAAATATAACTAAAAAGCATTTCTTTTAAACTAAGACTTATTTTGAGGACATAATTAAACTCTATTACCCACCCACCTCACATATTTTGCAGAAGAACTAATACAGTGGATGTTATAAAGTAGGTATGAACATCTTAAAGGATTTGAACCACCATTAACTGACAGAGAACAACTTCCTTTTAAGTCATCATAAAAACGTTTAAGAAAGGGAAAAAAGAGCAACAAGGGTTTCAGATTAAACGTGTCTCACGCTTCATTTTATACATTCAATCCTGGCTAGAGCGTAACAAAATGGAAACAAAATTCCCAGTGAGCACACTGTACACACCTGTGTTCCAAGCCCACCTCCATCCCCTAATGCTTCCAACTCAACTACTTCTCAGCCTGTCGGGCCTGCCCACAAAGCAACATATAGATCTTCTCCTTGATCCAGCCTTGTTTATAAGGGTGATATGTCTGGGTATCAATTAGCTCAGTAAAAAAGACAACGGAGGTCTGTCAGATCATCAACAAAATCAAACAACTGATATCATATGTGACTGAAGGACTGTTGGGATTTATTCTCTTCAGATGTTCTTCGTACATTTTACAAATGCCTTCCATGCATTCATTTACAGATTTATAGTCTGCGTAAGTTCTGCCGTCGGACCTCTTTGTAGGCTGTCCCAACAAAATAGTGTGAGACAGCCAACAGTCGCTGCAGCCGCTGCCGACCTCACTGCCACACACAGCCAATCCCCGCCAGAGGACTAAAGCTCCTATTTTTAAGACAATAAAAGAATTCACTCAGCATGAGAATTGCACAGTGACTATATTTTGTGGCGTTTGATCATTTAGGAATCAGAAGTTCTTAGTCTGGCTCTTTCCCAGGTCCTACTATATATAAATTGGGATTCTTAAAAGAAGGTGAAAAGGATTGTTGTTGTTGTTATGTGCCATTGAGTCACTTGTGACTCATAGTGACCCTATGTACAAGAGCCCTGAATGCTTTTCTATCCTGTGCCAACCTCACCGTCTCAAACACTCTCATTCCCACCACTCCACTCACAGAATCGATTCATCTCTTCAAAGGTCTTCCTCTCCTGCACTGTCCCTCCACTCTCCCAAACATGATGTCTCTCTCTAAGGACCAGTCCCTCCTTGCAACACGCCCAAGGTATGTCAGACAAAGCTTCAGAATCCTTGACTCCAAGGAGCACTCTGGCTTCATACTCTCCAGGACAAACCTGTTTGTTCTCCTGGCAGCCCACGGTATATTCAACACTCTTCTCCAGCACCACGGTGCAAAGGCATCAATTCTCTTTCTATCATCCCTATTCACTGTCCAACCCTCTGATGCACAGCACATAACTGCAAAGACTATAGCCTGGATCAGGCACACCTTAGTCTCCAGCCTGATGTCATTGCTCTTCAGTACTCTTGAGAGGTCCCTCAAGCTGACTTTCCCAATGCAATTCATCTCCTGATTTCCTGGCTGCTGTTACCAAGAGTGTTGACTGTGGAACCAAGTAAACTAAAACTGTTAACTATCTCAATCTCTTCACCATCCATACTGATGCTGCCAATTGGCCCAGTGGTGAGAATCTTTGTTTTCTTGATGTTGAGCTTCAATCTATATTGAAGACTGCAGTCCTTGACCTTCTGCAGCGAGCGTTTCAGGTCAAAAGGATTACCAATTATTAATGACATTATTCATGCTGCTATTTTATTAAATAACAGATATCTCCAGTGGTATGCTAATAAATGTTGAACAATAATCCCTCCCCTCAAAAAGTGTATGTGTGTATTTATGTGTGTATATCTATGTCACTATGAGTCACAAGCAACTTAAAAGTACGTAATATCAACAACTATATATATATATATATCTGTATATGTATCTATATGTGTTGCTCACATAACAGCAACATATATATATTTATATATGTTGCTGTTGTTATGTGCTGTCAAGTCACTTGTGACCCATAACGACCATATGTACAAATAGCCCTGAACCCTGCTCTATCCCGTACCAATATTATTGTCTCTGATACACCTCCCCCCATTCACCCTCTCCAGGATAATCTTGTTTGTTCTCCTAGAAGTTCATGGTATATTCAATACTCTTCTCCAGCACCACAGCTCAAAGGCATCAACTCTCCTATCATCCCTAGTCATTGTCCAGCTCTCTGATGCATAGGAAGTAACTGCAAAGACCATGGCCTGTTTCAGGCGCACTTTAGTCTCCAGACTGACATAGTTTTTCTTTAGTACTTTGGAGAGATCTCTGACAACAGATCTCTGTTCTGACAACAGACTCCTGGTCCAAGTTTCGTATTAGCACAATCAAATGTTCTGGGATTCCCATTCTTCTCAGAGTCAGCCACAGTTTGTTGTCATCCACACAGTCATATGCCTTTGCATAGTAAATGAAACACAGATAGATATTCCTCCGGTACTCTCTGCTTTCAGCCAAGATCCATCTGACATTAGCTATAATATCCCTAGTGCCACAGCTTCTTCTAAATCTAGCCTGCACTTCAGGCAGTTTTCTGTTAGTGTGCTGTTCCACTTGTTTTTGGATTCACTTCAGCAGCATCTGGTTTGCATGTGATATCAATGATACTGTTTCATAAATTCCACACTCTGTTGGATCACCTTTCTTTGGAATGGGAATAAACATAGATCTCTTCCAGTCAGTTGGCCAGGTGGTTGTCCTCCAGATTTCTTGGCACAACCTGGTGAGCACATCCAGGGCAGCATCTGTTTATTGAAACATGTTAGTCAATATACCATCAATTCCTGGGGGCTTGTTTTTTTTTTTGCCAATTCTTTCAGACAAGCTTGAACTTCTTCCTTCATCACCACAATCTCTTGCTCAAACATTGTTTCATGAAATTCTTCTGTGTCCACCAATTCCTTTTGGTACAGTGGTACTCTGTATACTCTTTCCATCTTCTTTTAATGCTTCCTGGATTTAATATTCTGCCCAAAGCATCCTTCAGTATCATAACTCCAGGTTTGAATTTGTTCTTCAGCTCCTTTAGCTTAAGAAATGCTGAGTGAGTTAGGTCCCTTTGATTTTTCTGATGTCTTTTTGCAAGGACTGGTCCCTCCTGATATCATGTTCAAAGCACTGTGAAATTAACTTTCATTATCCTTGCCTAGTTAAGCTATACTTACTGCTTAATTTTAAGAAAATTTGACAGGATATTTTTTTTAAAGTTTAAAGATTATCTTGTTAACAATAGCTTCAAGGGTTCACTTACCCCCTATGGCTCTAGACAGTCTTGAGACCATAAGAGTTTAAAATTCTATTTTGTATTTCCTCCATTTTTATCAGGAATCATCTACTAGATCTTTGCTTAAAATGTCCACTAATCAAAGCTAGGTACCATCCTGTCCTTGTCATTTCATGGCAAGAGAAAGCAATGGCTCATGGAAGCAATTAGCTACACATTTCATATTCTGCTTTATTTTTGCTTTCTTCTTTCTCTGGTGCATCAGACATGCACGGAGAAGTGGTCACACTTTGCATGACAGATTGCAAGTTCTTAAGATACTAAGCATTACACCTTGAGCTAGAAAATAGAAAAGAAACACTAAACACTCTATTTTAGTCCAATTAACTAGGATGTCCCATGAAAGATACTAGTTATTATTGAACACTGTAAGTGATGGAATTCTAAAAGTTACTTCTTACCATACTCTGAAGAATTTTCAATGCTTCCTCTTTACCTTCAAGTTGTCTTTGCGATGCCTCAAGTTCAGTTTTTAAAACTTCTACCTCCTAAGAACAAAAATAAAATTAATCTTCCCACCTATAGATACATGATTCAGATACATATGATAAAATATTATCAATATGGTGAGTGCACATGTAATCTTAATTTTACAGAAGGTGTTGGAAATTCTTCTAGGCTTTTAACTGACCAGAGAGGCTGAAAGTGAAAGCATCGTCTTTATCAGGTTCTAGTTGTATCTGAAAGCTGAAATCTTTTCTCTTTACTCACCTAGGCCATGCAGCTAATAGTGTGAGGAAAATACCATAAGTCTCATAAAATATTTCCCTGGTCACTGTCATGAATTGATAGTGTGCCCTCAAAACAATTGTATGTCACACTATAACAAGAAATTTATGTAATGCTCCTGCCTGGTCAAATAAACAAATCCATTTAGGAGAATTAAAGGTGAAATGCCACATCCTTAAAATCCCATCACAACTCTGCTCCACATAATGGGAGTTGTTCTGGAGTGTGGCAAAAGGAGGAAGGCAAGCAGGTAAGAGGAACTTTAGTACCACCAAAGCAGAAGATCTGGGAGTGGAGCAGATCCTTTGGGTCCAGGTTGGGACCCTGTGCTGGGAAGCTCTTTGAAACTAGAAATGACCAAGACACGTGGATCTCCAAAGAAGGCCAAGCTTACAGATACTGAAAGGAGACACACAGAGAGAAGGCTTTTCCCTAGAGCCAGCACCTGAATTTGTATTTTGTCTTGCTAAACTATGAGAGAATAAATTAATTTTTGTAAAAATATTATACTGTGGGCTCTCTTTTAAAGCAGCATTAGGTAATTATAATGGTCATCCACTGAATTATGTTGTTGTTGTTATTATAAGGTGCTGTCAAGTGCAACCCATAACAATCCTATGAACAACATACTTGGACACTGTCCTATCCTGTGCCAGCCACATAATCTCTGCAATACTTGAGCTCACTGCTGCAGTCTCTGTTAAGCTATTTGGTTGAGGGTCTTTCTCTTTTGCTGATCCTCCATCTTTCAAAGCATGATGTCCCTCTCCAAGTAATAGCCTCATCTAGCAACGTTCCCACCATATGTGTGATGAAGTTATGACCACTTACTCCAAAGAATGCTCTGGCTGCACTTTCTCCAAGATATATCTATTTGTTCTTTTGGCAGACCATAGGATATTCAGTATCTTCTCCAACACTAGAGCTCAAAGGCATCATTTCTTCTACTGCCATCATTATTCATTGTCCAGTTCTCAGATGCATAGCAAGTGATTATAAAGACCATGGTCTGAATCAAACTCACCGGAGTTCTCAAACTGACATCATTGCTCCCTAATAATTTGGCGAGATCCCTGACTGCAGATTCGCCCAGTGCAATATATCTCCTGATCTCCTGACTGCTAGAATCAAGGGTACTGACTGTGGATCTAAGTAAGATGAAGTTGTTGGCAACTTCAATATTTTCTCCATCTGACATGATGTTGCCTATCTGTCCAGTAGTAAGAATTTTTGTTTCCTTGACACAAGATGCAATCCATATTGAAGGCTGCCATCATGATCTTCTGAAGCAAGTGCTTCATGACCTCCTCAGTTTCAGCAAACAAGATTGTGTCATCTGCTTAACGTAGGTTATTGATGAGTTTTCCGCCAATTCTGATGCCACATTCTTCTTCACCAGGACAAGATTTTCTTTTTCAGAGGAGAAAGAAAAATTCAAAACAGATGTCAGAAGAGACCCTGAAAATTGCATCAGAGCATCAAGAAGCCACGACAAAGGGAAGAGATGCTGACATAAAAGAGCTGAACAAAGATTTTACAGGGTAGATCAGGAAGAAAAAGAAAAGCATTTAATGGAATGTGCAGAGAGCTAGAATTGGAGAGTGAAAAGAGAATTCCCTTGACATTTTCAGGCTGAAAGAGGTGAAAACAAATTCAAGCCAGGAGTTGCAATACTTAAGAGATGCTTTGGGCAAAATCTTTAATGACTGAGGAAGCATCAAAAGAAGATGAAAGGAATACAAAGAATCAATGGACCCAAAAGAAATGATTACCACTGAAATATTTTGCTATACATACATACATACACTACACTATACAGAGCTTTCATATTTCAGGAAGTACCATATGATCAAGAGCCAAAGGAAGCTCTAGCTATACTGAAAGGATTGTGACAAAAATAAGGCCTCAGAAATCAATGGGATACCACTGACATTCTTCAGATGACAGATGCAGCCCTGAACATGCTCACCAGTCTATGCCAGGAAATACGAAGATCACTGGCTGGTAAGCCAACTGGAAGAGGTCCCTATTTGTTCCTATAACCAAGAAAAGTGATCCAACAGAATGTGGACATTATCAAGAAATATCATTAATATCACATGCAAGTGAACTACTACTTAAGATTATTAAAAAATTACTAGAACAGTGCATAGAGAGAGAATTGCCAGAAGTTTAAGCTGAATTTAGAAGAGGCTGTGGCACCAGTGATATCATTGGATATCGATGGATCCTGGATGAAAGTAAAGTGTATCTGAAGAATGTCTATTTATGTTTTATTGACTATGCAAAGGCATTTGATTGTGTGGATCATAACAAACTATGGCTAATGTTGAGAAGAATGGGAATCCTACTGTGCAAACATAGTGAAGGAACACAACATAGTTTAAAATTAAGAACGGTATGTGTCAGGGTTGCATCCTTTCTCTCTGAATTGTAATAGTTTTCATAAAAATAGTCACAACACCACCCTAATATAGCCTTCCTATTTCTAAAGTCATTGGCATCTTTCATGGAAACTTCTAGTTCTACCAATCTCAAGTCATTGGGGAGGCTTTTCATACTAATTTCAAAAAAGTTAAATTAACTTAGATTCTTTCAAGTCATAATCACAAAGGAGGCAGATGAAAAGAAGAGATAACCATTTTCTCCATCAAGAGCCTAGAGAAGCTGGTTGACAGGAAAATATTTACATAAGAAGCCTTTGAGATGTAAGAGGATAGGAAGCTGAGGAGCTGAAACAGCATAAGCTTTAGACTATGGCTTATTGAGAATATCTAGAAAGGCTGTATTTGTCTTCCATCTTTTAATTTTATTTAAACAAGATATCTGTCTGTGAACTTTATTCAGATGAAGATTTTTATATTAGCCAAAGTACTTACCTCTAAAGTTTCATGAAGATGTTGCCTTAATTCTTCTATGTTTGACAATTCTGAATTAGAATCTATTTAAAACAACAATAAAATGACAATTTTTCATAACCTGTTAAATATAGGGTATCTGTTTACAAAATCTCAAATGCAAGTTTTTACCAAATTGCAAATGTAACAATACAATTAATAATGAAAATAATTTTGCTTAAAATATTTTACAAGT